ACTCTCCCTTTAAAACCGCAAAAATTATGTATAGCTCCCCGTAATTCCGCAACGATCTCTGCTAGCCGACCCGAAAGCTGTCTGTCACGCCCCCTTTAAAACGCGGGCTGGATGGAATTTTTGCTTTTTTTGAGATTTTAACCATCTGCCGATGGATTTTGGACCATCTGCCTTCCGCGGTCCTTGAAGCGCGCAAAAAGTGTGGCGCCCCCCGGAAAGTGGCGCGGCGGGGTGCCGCGGGCTGGGTGTACGTGACACTCCGCGCCGGACAGGGTGTCCGCGTGCGGTGTAGACATGTTGGCGCGACAAGGGCTCGTTGCGGAAAAGCCCGATCTGCCTTTTTACCGTAACCCAGGATGCTAGGAATTTTTCTAAGGAAACCAGGAAGCGCGAAAATCTACCCAATCTGGCGGCTAGGTCTAGACAGCTACCCGTGGGATCAAAAGACGCTAGCAGGGACGTTTGAACCCCACTAATCGCTGCTTTTTGCAAGATTTATCGATTTTTCGGAGCATCCTAAAAGTTTTTAAAGGGACTTCATAAAGCGTGAGAATCGACGTTTTCGATCCACTAGGTCTAGACAGCCACACGTCGCTTCAAAACGCTAGCAAGAGTCGTTAGACAAATCTCCGAGTCACTGCAAATTCCAGTTTACACCTGCCTCGGGTTTTTGATTGTTTTCGCTTCCTCCGCATACATATTTGTATGGGACGTCACCTTAGTGTGTCTGTAGAGCGAGAGAGAGGGATAGAGAGCGAGAGAGTGAGAGAAACAAGAGAGAGAGAGAGAGCGGACAAGAGAGGGAGAGCGATGTGTCATCCTGGGTAAGCCGCGCGCTCCGGATCCTGACGGGTCCCGTTGTTTTACGTCACCTGGGTACGCTGTGGTGATCGTTTAGGAATTGTGATGTTTTAAAGGGACCAGGAAGGGGAAATTCGTAGATTCTTACGCCCGCTCTCTCTCTCTCTCTCTCTCTCGCTCTCTATCTCTTTCTCTCTCCCCCCTCTCTCTCTCGCACTCTCTCTTTCTTGCTTATACTCTTCACTGTTCCCAAAAATCCCTGCTGGCCTGACAAAAAAAAATCCCTTTTTTTGCCTCTAGGCTAGCAGAGATTCCTTAGGCGGTATTTTGATATCGCGGCTAGAAAAAGCGAGAGAGCGAGGAGAGAGAGGAGGCCGTAGCGCGATAGAGACCGACAGTCCCACTTCTCCCAAAAAAAATCGAGTGTTATGCCGATGTGTTGTGTGTGTCACCTCCCCCAAAAAGTGAGTCCCGGCACGGCGCGCCGTGGCGGGGCCCCTTTTTGGCGTCCCGGATTCCGGGACAGTCCGCGTGGACGGGTGGTGTCGAATGGAAAAGGGGGAAAAAGAGGAGGGAGGGTGGAGAAGAAGAAGAAGACTGGTCCACGTCCACCCATCCAGGCCCACTCGACCACCACTTCCCAAACATCCACCCACCCCCCTGGGGAGCCACTTCTATCCAGGGGGGTGGCACCGCCGCCAAAATAGCATGGCATTTTGGCGGGGCGGTTTCGACTTTTTGGGGGTTACTGTAGCTCGGCTTTGTCTTTACTGGCCCCTTTAGAGGTCCTTTTCTTCCTGGAAAGTATTTTGTCATTTTAATGGCTTTCTTTGGCTTCAATAGCTCTTTAAAACGAAGCTTTTTCCTTTTTTTAGGGCTTTCTATTCAGATTTGGCTTCAATGGTCCTTTAGAATCCAATCGCGACGCCAACAGATTTTTTGGAGCGCATTTTTACAGATTTTTCGCTGATTGGTCCTTTAAAGCAACGAATTTCGGAGGTTCGCTATATATCTCTCGCTCTTCCTTGCTCTCTCTCTCTCTCTCTCAGTTTTCTATCACCCCTATCATGGAAAAATTTCCGAAACGCCCCCGAAATAGATGCGGATGCGGCGCGGAGAGCAGAAATCGGGCGCGCGGAGCGCCCGCGCACTCGACGCGCGCCAGTTGCCGTGTGCCCCGAGGGCCCCGTCTCTCTCTCTCTCTCTCTCTCTCTCTCTCTCTTTCTCTCTCCTCTCCTCTATCTCGCTCTCTTCTCCCTTTCTCCCCACGGTGCACGCGATCGCGCAAAATCAGCAGTTCAGAAGAGCTCGCACATCCGGTCATTCCCACCCTCGAACCAATTTCGATTTCCTATTTTCCTCAAATCATCTCTGCTAGCCTGCCTCATCCATTCTCAAATTCTCTCTGCTGGCTGCCCTTCCGTTCCCGAAACGTTTTCCGTTGCATTACTTTTGTCAAAAAAGCAAAAACCCGGTGTGCAGATTGGGCGAACGGGGCGTAGGTAGGGTGTGGTGGGGGATTGGCTGTCAGGATTCCGGTTTCCACCTGTTTGTGTTTCTGTCCACTTTCGCATGCATACAGCCACGCAGAGAGAGAGAGGCAAACGTGCACACCCAAAATTACCGTACGGACCGGGGGAGGGGATTTTTTGGCGGGCGACACGCCAAAATTGCCTCCTCTCACCGGACCGTTCCCAGGGTGTACGACGTACACCTCTGGCAACGGTCAGTTTTGGGGGGAATGTGGAGGTGAATGTTTTGGGGGATTAAAGGGACCGGGCAGGCTAGCAGAGATCATTTGGGAATGGAAGGGCAGGCTAGCAGAGATCATTTGGGAATGGAAGGGGCAGGCTAGCAGAGATCATTTGGGAATGGAAGGGGCAGGCTAGCAGAGATCATTTGGAAGGGGCAGCTAGCAGAGATCGTTTGGGGAGGCTGGAGAGATCATTGGGAATGGAAGGGGGCAGGCTAGCAGAGATCATTTGGGAATGGAAAGGCAGGCTAGCAGAGATCATTTCGGAATGGAAGGGGCAGGCTAGCAGAGATCATTTGGGAATGGAAGGGGCAGGCTAGCAGAGATCATTTGGGAATGGAAGGGGCAGGCTAGCAGAGATCATTTGGGAATGGAAGGGGCAGGCTAGCAGAGATCATTTGGGAATGGAAGGAGCAGGTTAGCAGAGATCATTTGGGAATGGAAGGGGCAGGCTAGCAGAGATCATTTGGGAATGGAAGGGGCAGGTTAGCAGAGATCATTTGGGAATGGAAGGGTAGGCTAGCAGAGATCATTTGGGAATGGAAGGGGCAGGCTAGCAGAGATCATTTGGGAATGGAAGGAGCAGGTTAGCAGAGATCATTTGGAAATGGAAGGGGCAGGCTAGCAGAGATCATTTGGGAATGGAAGGGGCAGGCTATCAGAGATCATTTGGGAATGGAAGGGGCAGGCTAGCAGAGAGCTTTTGTAATTTTCCCCCAACTTTCCAATCCCTTCAAAGCCCGCCAGTCCATAGTATCGCCGCGGAACAGCCGGCCACCCCCTCAACAGCGCTGTATAGATACATTGAGTGACTTTTCCAATCTGCCCAACCTCCAGCTGGGGGACCTCAATTTTTGGAAATTCGCGAATATTGACCGGGCCAACCTCACCCCCGATCTATCCATCAAAATCCACGTCCTGGGCTCGGGATATTCGATGAAATACATGCTGCTGAATTTTGGGAGCCCGAAGAAGGAGGTAATTGTGATGTTAAAGCTGCTAGGATTAGCTTAGCTAGTAAGTGCTAGACTTAAGCTCTAATGAAGCCCCCGCCCGACAAGCCTAAGCGTAAACCTAGGCTGGGGGTAAACCGAAGCCTATCTACCACGGGTAAGCCCAGGCCTGAAGTCTATGCCTAAGCCCCAGCTTAAGCCTAAGCCCAAGCCTAAGCGCCAAATGCGTGTTCTCTGCTAGTGCGTAGTTGGCTAGAACTAGCCAATAGAAAGCGTCGATTCTCCTGGTTCCGTGCACCTTTAAGGAAACACGAGCTCGAAATGTCGGGTGTGTTGCATTTGTTTGCTGTACAACCCCCGTGCCAATTTTTTACCTCCATGATCCCTTTAAATCCAAAAATTCCTTCCCTCGGCTTGTGTCGATAGTATTGTATCGTACGGGCGGCAAAAATGAGGGGTTGACCTTGTCGGGAGCGCGCCCCATTCGCCCCCAACCAGTTCCCATAAGTGGATTCGGATGCTCCTGACGTGCGTCTCTCTCACTCGCTCCTCTATCTCTCTCTCTCTCTCTCTCTCTCTCTCTCTCTCTCTCTCTCTCTCTCTCTCTCTCTCTCTCTTTCACTCGCCTTAACCTTCATTTTATTCGGCGCGGGACCACCGGGGGTCAGCGCTGGCACTCGTACCGTAATTTTCAGCGGATTCTCAGAAAAATTGTGTTTTAAAGGGTCGTTGAAGCCAAGGAGGTTTCTTTGAGGGGGGGTCGAGCCTCCAAAATAATCTCAGCTAGCCTGCCCCTTCCATTCCCAAATGATCTCTGCTAGCCTGCCCCTTCCATTCCCAAATGATCTCTGCTAGCCTGCCCCTTCCATTCCCAAATGATCTCTGCTAGCTGCCCTTCCATTCCCAAATGATCTCTGCTAGCCTGCCCCTTCCATTCCCAAATGATCTCTGCTAGCCTGCCCCTTCCATTCCCAAATGATCTCTGCTAGCTGGCTAGGCTTCTCTCATAGGTTTCCGCTTTAATTCAACGATTTTCAAAGGGTCTCTGATAGGCTGTCCTCTCTCGCACTCTCTCTCTCTCTCTCTCTCTCTCTCTCTCTCTCTCTCCCTCTCACCCCGGTCATACCGTTTTTCCACGGAATCGGTTAATGCGATCATTCCATTGTTTTCCTTTCCCTCACTCACTGATGTTTTGCCGGTGTTTCCCACCACAGGGGCATCTTTTATGAGTCAGCCAGTCACTTTCCACCCGAACACCCTCAAAGATCTCTGCTAGCCTGCCCGTGTTGTCACAATCAATCCACATGGACCTCTGCTAGCTTGCCATCACAGCTTGCCTCTTCTAGATGTCATTATCCCTTTAGAACGCGATTTTCTCACGAAAAAGAGCTATGAATATTCATTTAAGGATTATTTAAATTGTTGTATTATTTTTAAAATCACATTATCATATATAAATATTAAATTAAAATTTCCAGGTGCATCAACCGCGGATGAAGGTGTTCACCGTGGGCCTCGACGACAAGGAGAAGGCCAAGAGCCTCGATGAAAAGGTGAGCGCCGTAATTGTGGAGTTTTGAAGGATAAATGTATTTACTCATTATCAAATTTAATTTAATTTAATTTAATAAGTCATTATAAAATTTAGGGCATTAATACCAAAAATTTTCAGCTTGAAACCGGCTCGCTGGCGTCGAGCAGCTGCTCGGAGCCGCCGCTGAAGCCGGCCGCACAGCTGCCGGTGGCCACGCAGAAGAAGTGCAGAAGGAGTCCATTTAAGGTTGGTAGGGCTAGAGAGAGAGAGAGCGTGAGAGCGAGAGAGAGAGTGAGATATAGAGCTTTTATAACCCCGTGATCCTCAGGGTTGCCTCGCATGCATCGCCGTCGTCTTCTGCGTGCTGCTAGCCGCCGTCGTGCTGTCCGAATTGGCGTACGCTCGGCATCGCGACGACCAATTTCTGCGTCTGAAGTGGGCCGAGCTGAAGCAGCGCATGATCGGGCTGGACTTGTTGAGGGAGTCGCAGCTTCAGGCGCAGCAAGCAGCGTTTGCAGCTGCACAAAAATTGGCGCAGGTTGGTACAAGTTTTCTCAAATAATCTCTGCTAGCATGCCCCTACCATTCCCAAATGATCTCTGCTAGCCTAAACTCCTTTTCAGGGGCTGAACAACGACCAACCGCCCGAGGTTATCGACGAGCGCTTGGCCTTCTCCAAGCGGCTGGAGAATGGACACGAGTAAGTTAGTGAGAGCGAGAGAGAGAGAGAGAGACAGACAGAGAGAGAGACAGACAGAGAGAAAGAGGGAGATAAAGAGCGCAAAAAATCAAGATTTCTTGCAATTTTCAGTCAGCAACCCCTTCACCAGGTCGACAACTCGGTAGAATCCTCGAAGGAAGTCGATGGAGTAAGTTTTCGGCCGGCAGTTGCTTTGCTCCGCCCCAAAAAGCCTTTGCAACACGAGAATCGACCCCTTTCATCGACTAGGTCTAGACTGCTACACGGCACGCCAAAACACGAAACAGTTATGCGTGATTTGGCGTGTCGCATAACTGTCTAGACCTAGACCATGCAACGAGCCGATTCTTACATTTGCGCGTCCCTTGAAACTCAAAATCTGTTCCAGGACATGCGCCTCGCCTTCCTCAAAGCGATCCTCCAGAAGCTGAAGGCCGCCGCGAAAGATGGAGCCCTCCCGGGACCCGTTCATGTAAGGGGCAGGCTAGCATTGTTCATTGGGGAAACGGGACGTTGGGGGGCAGGCTAGCAGGGATGCTTGGGGAAATGGACGTAAGATTTGATTTGTAGGTGTCGGTGTTGGAGATCAAGAAGCAGCCGCTGATTGGGGAGACCGAGGACGATCTGGAGGAGGTGAGAGAGACAGAGAGGAGAGAGAGAGAGAGAGGAGAGAGAGAGAGAGAATGAGAAGAAAGTGAGAATGAGAAGAGAGAGAGAGTGAGAGAGAGAGGATTTTTTAACTGTCCCTTTAGATGCCCCAAAATATGGCGGACGGATTCGGCGAATGGGCCGCACCCTCACCATTTGGAAATGGAGACTGGCAGGAGCCGTCAGAGGGGTACGGTAGTCGCTACAGTATCCAGATAATCACTTTTTAGCCGCCAGTTCGATCGCTTCTCGTGGCGTGATCGATTCCCGCAACAACAACAACAGCAACAGGTTGAGGTAGATAGCGGGAGAGTAGGGAGAGAGCGCGAGAGAGAACGAGAAAGCGAGAGAGAGAGAAAGAGAGAGAGAGAGAATCTAAATAAACAGAGCAGCTGTAATTTTTCCAGAATTCCGGTGAAGGCCAGCCGTGGATGTTCAACGACGACGGCCAGGCCGACGCTCCTGAGCGACCCCAGCTCCGAATCACGCATCACTTCGATAAGGTATGAATTTGCGTTTTATCCAGACAGGAAGCATCAGATTCCTCAAAGATTTCTGCTATCCCAGGGTGGAACATTGGTTTTAAAGGGGCTGGAAACCTAGAAATTCCTAAAGACTCTCTGCTAGGTTTATCCTGCTAAATTCGGAGCTTTAAGACGCCCGCACAGCCAGACTACTCGATAGCAAGAAAAGCGAGTTTACAGGGCGCAGACCCGCGATTCCCCAAAGCTCTCTGCTAGCCTGCTTTCGCGTTCTGAAGCCCTTTTTTTTCAGGAAAACCCAATGATGCCCGGACGTATCGTCACTGAACTTTATGGAGACGACGCCTCGGAGGTACGTTTCTGAGATCCCGTTTTTGAAAGCCCCTCTCAAAAGCGCCAGTTGTACGACCCCTTCATCTGCTAGGGTCTAGACGACAATGCAAAAACACTCTGTGAATGCACCAAAACCACCCGGGCACAAAAAGGCCGGCTCTACAAGTCGTTTTGGCGTGTCGTATTGTTGTCTAGACCTAGTCGATGGAAGGAGTCGATTTTGAGACTTTCGAACCCCTTAAATCCCCTAAAAATTCGGTTTATAAAAATATTTTCAGTTCGTCAAGAGCTTCATGAATGCGAGCCGGCCTGAGATGATGCAGGTCACAAAACTATACAGCTTTACAAGGGGGACTTTCACGATTTTTTTAAAGGCCTGAAAGGTCTGCAATTTGACCCCTTTGATCGACTAGGCACAGACGAAAGTATTTCGGCTCACGTTTGAGTAAAAATTAGATACCGCGGACAGATATTGGCGTGTGGCGTAGCTGTCTAGACCTAGTTGATCGAGGGGGGTGAATCGCGGGCTTGCAAGTCCCTTTAAAATAACGTTTTGCAGCAGCCGTCCGACTTTGCGCAGCCGATGATGGGAGGTCAGCCGCAGCCGTGGATGGGACAGCCGATGATGCAGGTGAGAGAAAGAGAGAGCAGGAGAGTAAGAGAGAGAGAGAGAGCGAGCGAGAGAGAGCGAGAGAGAGAGAGCGAGAGAGAGAGAGAGAGAGAGAGAGAGAGAGAGAGAGAGAGAGAGAGCGAGAGAGGGCGATACAGAACCAGATACCTTTTTTTTCAGCAACCCAGCCCAGCAGCAGCAGCGCTTCGCCGTCGAGTTTGGCCACAATTTCGGGACAACTTTGGCTCTCAACTGGGAGCGAGCCCAGGGCTTCGGGCAGCAGCCGCAGCAACCACAGTGGTTCCAGCAACAACAGCAGCAACAACAGCCGGTAAGTTGGAGTCGCGCGTAACCGGTTTTAAAGGGAAAGGGATGGCAAGGCTATGGATTTTGCGAAACATTGCAGGGAGGTAGAGAGTGAGAGGGAGGGAGAGAGAAAGAGAGAGTGAGAGAAAGAGAAAGAGAAAGTGAGAGAGAGGGGCAAAATAAACTAATACTAGCGGTCGTGGATTGCCGGTTCCCTTAAAGGGGAAAGGTCTTGTTAGAGCTTTAGCGCACTAACACCCAGGGCAGGCTAGCAGGGAATCTTGGGGAAACGGCTTTAATGAGAGGATTTTTAGCAGCAGCCGCAGCAACCGATGAACGCCTGGGAGCAGTGGCAGAACCAGTGGCAGCAACCACAGATGTGGCAGCCTCAGGTGAGTCTCTCTCAGCTCTCTCTCTCTCTCTCTCTCTCTCTCTCTCTCTTTCTCTCGCTCGCTCTCCATCGCTTTTTCTCCGGCTAACCATGGACTTTCAGATGCCCGACCAGGCGCAACCAGCCGACGCCGCCCAGATGCCGTGGTACCACAACTGGATTCAGGAGAACAAGGTACCGTAATTAAAGCAAAAATCGACGGCCAGTTACGGTAGTCCGGACATCTTTTAGGGGATACAAACGCGGGGAATACATTTTGCATAGTAGAATTTGATTTGGGTTTGCTCTAACCCACAAAAATTTAGCCCTCCAGCATTTACAGATTTAGGAGTCGGCCTAGCCCGCGTGCTCACCTGTACACAAATAATTTATTTACAAAAATTCCTTAGTTTCCATTTTTTGGGCGATCGGAATAAATAGTGTTGGAATTTTTATGGAACCTGGACTACACTGTAGGCACTACAGTAACCAAAGAAACCGCAAAAAAAATTTTTTTAGAAGGTTCCGAGCCGCCCCCATGAACGGTCAATTCGTTGTAGTTTAGAGTTTGAGGCGTGTGGTTTCGAGCTTTTGGAGGGAGGGGAGGGGGATAAGCTGGATTATGCATGTGACCCATTTTTGAGCGGGAAAAAGAGAGAGAGAGAAAAAGAGAGAGAGCGAGAGATAGAGAGAGAGGCAGAGAGAGAGAGGCAGAGAGAGATCAAACTTGTTTTTTCAGCCCCAACAGCCAGCCATCGTGCCCGACGCCGCCGAAGCGAAGCGCATCGACGCCGACGAGCAGCCGGCCCGCTTCACCGACCTGAACGAGGAGGACCAGGGCGATGATGGATTTGAGCAGAAGGTACGGTAATTTAGTGCGGTAATGATCCAAGGTGAAAAAACGATGGCTCTCTTAGCTGTCTAGACCTAGACACCGGAAGGGTCGATCCTCACGGGTCCCAGTCCCCTTAAAAGCCGACTTGCAGGAGCAGTTCAACGTCCCGGCCGACGTCATCGCCGATGAGCGACCGGAGGTTGTCGAGGGGACGAAGGTCGATGAAAAAGTGAGAGAGAGAGAGAGAGAGAGCGAACCAAAGAGATATACCAAAACTAACACTTCTTTCAGACGCATTCCGCCGAGCAGCAACCCTCCGTGGTGAACGAGCAGCCGGCTGCGGCCATCGACGTGCACCCAGTCCAGGAGCCCGGAAGCTCAGGCAAATTCTGCCCCTCCGCGACTCCTTTGACGACCCGCCACCGCCAGCGGCCGCCGCTCCTGAGAAGAAGGTGGATGCGGAGGTGCGTCTCCCTCTCGCTCTCGCTCTGTCTCTCTCTCCCTGTCTCGCTCTCTCAATCCAAAATCCCAAATCTTTAGCCGTCGATTCCGGCCGAGGCTATCTCCGACGATGACTCCTTCCATGTCGACAGGAATTCACCGTTCTTCCAGGTACCAGCTAGCAGAGATCATTTGGGAATGGAAGGGGCAGGCTAGCAGAGATCATTTGGGAATGGAAGGGGCAGGCTAGCAGACATCATTTGGGAATGGAAGGGCAGGCTAGCAGAGATCATTTGGGAATGGAAGGGGGCAGGCTAGCAGAGATCATTTGGGAATGGAAGGGGCAGGCTAGCAGAGATCATTTGGGAATGGAAGGGCTAGGCTAGACAGAGATCATTTGGGAATGGAAGGGCAGGCTAGCAGAGATCATTTGGGAATGGAAGGGGCAGGCTAGCAGAGATCATTTGGGAATGGAAGGGGCAGGCTGACAGAGATCATTTGGGAATGGAAGGGGCAGGCTAGCAGAGATCATTTGGGAATGGAAGGGGCAGGCTAGCAGAGATCATTTGGGAATGGAAGGGGCAGGCTAGCAGAGATCATTTGGGAATGGAAGGGGCAGGCTGACAGAGATCATTTGGGAATGGAAGGGGCAGGCTAGCAGAGATCATTTGGGAATGGAAGGGGCAGGCTGACAGAGATCATTTGGGAATGGAAGGGGCAGGCTAGCAGAGATCATTTGGGAATGGAAGGGGCAGGCTAGCAGAGATCATTTGGGAATGGAAGGGCAGGCTAGCAGATTTAAAAATGATCATTTGGGAATGGAAGGGGCAGGCTAGGCAGAGATCATTTGGGAATGGAAGGGGCAGGCTAGCAGAGATCATTTGGGAATGGAAGGGGCAGGCTAGCAGAGATCGTTTGGGAATGGAAGGGGCAGGCTATCAGAGATCATTTGGGAATGGAAGGGGCAGGCTAGCAGAGATCATTTGGGAATGGAAGGGGCAGGCTAGCAGAGATCATTTGGGAATGGAAGGGGCAGGCTAGCAGAGATCATTTGGGAATGGAAGGGGCAGGCTAGGAGAGATCATTGGGGCCGGAAGGGGCAGGCTAGCAGAGATCATTTGGGAATGGAAGGGCAGGCTAGCAGAGATCATTTGGGAATGGAAGGGGCAGGCTAGCAGAGACTGTTTGGGAATGGAAGGGGCAGGCTAGCAGAGATCATTTGGGAATGGAAGGCGCAGGCTAGCAGAGATCATTTGGGAATGGAAGGGGCAGGCTAGCAGAGATCATTTGGGAATGGAAGGGGCAGGCTAGCAGAGATCATTTGTCTACTCTTCCTCATTTCAGATCGATGACCCGAGCAGCTTCGTCGCCAAAGCCTAAGCCTAAGTCGCCCGCTTGAGCATGAGCTTCAAAAAAAACCCTTTTCCATGTGCTCATTCCCGAATTTTCCATATTTTCCAAACCCCGACTTCCCCACCACGAAACCGGTCTCCAGGCTCTCAAATTGTGCTTTTTGTGCATCGATTCCCCCACTAAATTGGTCACCAAATGTAATTTCAAGGGTACTGTAGGTATTTCGGCTTTTTAAAGGGACCGCGAAGGCAGCATTCTGAACACCAGGCTTAAAAAAGGCTTTGAAAAAGCTTTTTTGACGCATGTACGCATTGAGTTTTAGCCCAAAACAGCCAGCCAGATCCCTTTAAACGACACTGAATTTGTGGAAAATTCGAAGATATAATGCCCTGTTACGCGGACGCCCTACCGTACCCCAATTCGAAGCCCCTTACACCATTATCAAAAAATCCTCACCTCCCCAATTGTGCTATTTATTTGTGTCGAGTTTTCACTTCTTTTCGACGCCACATGTAGATGCTCTCCGTCGCTGCTTTAGTAATGCAAATAAACTTTTTGCGAGTTTAAGAAGACACATTAATCGGACGGATGGTTAGGATGTCTCTCTCGCTCTCTCGCTCTCTCTCTCTCTCTCTCTCTCTCTCTCTCTCTCTCTCTCTCTTTGTCTCTCTCCTGGAGCTCCTAGGCGTGATTTTCCTAAATTTTCTCCTGATAGCTCGCTTGAACTCTGTTTTTCAACTTTTCCTCGATGCTTTTCTGGAAAAAAAACAAAATCGCGTCTGTAACATTTTTATTCGGTGTTTCTACCAGCGAAAACGGCCAGAATTTGGGTTGAAGAATTTTAACAATTTTTGGAGCGAGGGTGAAGATCGAAAAATAAAAATAATAAAAATGACAAAGACAGATCTACAGGCTGAGGAGGAGGAGGAGGAGTGGTACGGTAGGATACGGTGGGACACATTAGCCAGACCCGAACGGCTACTTACAGTATGATTTGAGGAGGGCGCGGGTGGCGAAAATGTGAACCTGGGCTTGTTAATAAGGTTAGATTGATTCGAAATTTTAATTAAAATAATGCCAACTTTGAGAAGATTTTCTAAGAAGAATTTTAAATGTCCGTTTTCTTTAAGTTCACGAAGTCCAATTTAGATTCACGGTTTCGAAAAGCTTTTTAGGGGCGGAGAATTTTCGTAGGGCGCTGCGCTCAGGAAAATAACAAAAGCACGCAAGGATATTTAGTAGATGTTTGGCACGACTTATACGGTTGGGAGGGAGAATCGTGTTAGGAGCTTGGGCTTTAGGTGGTTTAGGCTTAGCCACGGCTTCAGCTTAGGCTTAGCCAGAGGCTTAGGCTTGGCTTAGAGCAGCTTAGGCTTGGCTAAGCAAGCTAGGCTTAGCTGAGGCTTAGCTTGAAGCAGCTGAGGGCTTGGCTAGGCTTGGCTGAGGCTTGGCTTGGAAGGCAGCTTGGAAGCAGCTTAGGCTTGCTTAGGATTAAGCTTGGCAGCTGGCAAGCGGGCGGGCAGCAGGCTAGAGGCTTAGGCAGGCAGGGTTAGCTTAGGCTGAGCCTGGAGGGCTTGGGCTTAGGCTTAGGCTTGGCTTTAGGCTTAGCTTCGGCTTGGGCTCAGATAAAGGCAAGGTGGTGGAGGATCGAGGAGTTCGGTAAATGCAAAGTGAGACTTTTATAACGCAAAACATTTTAAAAGGAAAAACGTGGAATTTTCGTAAGGAAAATACGGTGCCAAATGTACAGTAGGAGAGTGATGCAGCAAAAGTCGGAATAAAAATTCTTTAGAAATATCAGCAGCTGCTCGCGCGCGTGCTGCTGTCTACCCGCGTTGAGATCGATGGGGAAATTGTGATTTTTGGAGGAGTTTCAGAGATGGTTTTTTCGAAAAGCTGTGTAGGTCATCTCGTCTTCTTCTTTTCGGCTTTGTTTTGCTTCTTTGCGGCCGCAGGTAAAGTCGCCGAGGCCGGTGATCTAGAAAAAAGCGTTGGTACTGGACGTTTGGCGGGGGAAGCTAAATTTTCTGAGGAATATTGTAAGCAACCTCTTAACCATTTTTATGGTATTTTATGAAATTTTTAGGAACCGACCTTCCCTAGGAACTTTTCTGATCAAAGTTGTGTGAAAAAGGCCAAAAGGCAAAAAAATTAATGGGGGTGGTAAAAACGGGGCGGTCGATTGCTCGTCGACCTACCGGCCCCATTAGGCTTCTCGAAGCCCTTTAAAGCTTCAAAAACTCACATCCTCCTTTCCCAGGATGCAAATTGCGTAGTACCACTTGTCACAGTCGTCATCCAGCAGACCTGGGAGGTTGGGTATAGTTTGAGATAGAGAGAGAGAGAGAGAGGACAAGAGAGAGTGAGGGAGAGAGAGAGAGGACGGGAGGAGTGAGACAGAAAGGATAGAGAGAGGGAGAGAGGAGAGAGAGGCTAGAGAGAGAGAGAGGAGTGAGAGAGAGAGAGAGAGAGAGAGAGAGGGGGGCGAGGTGGCGAGAGGGGCGCGAGAGGGAGGAGAGAGAGCGGGAGAGAGCGAGCGGGAGATATTGGGAGAGAGAGATGGAGAGAGAGCGAGCGGGAGAGATCGGGCGAGAGAGAAAGTTTGTTAGAAGAGAACTAAACACTTGCCCAGTTCACTTCCAAGGTCTGCGACCTGTTGCGTTCCTTGTCCATGCCGCGGGCGGCTACCGGGTCGTGGTGGGTCACCTACAAACACAGATATTTATTGGATCGGTCGGCCACGAGGGTTTGTGTTTGTCTCAGACCCAGCCGACGTGGGTTGATTCTATCGCTTTTGAGCCCCTGAATAATTTTCCTCTTAACCCACCGACGGATCACTTTGGCGGGAACAGTGGCTCGTCGGCGTCATCCGAATCGGAGGGCGCCTCCGACGAAGTCGCCACGGCTTTTCGTTGGCTTTCGCCCCCGTTTTTCGGCGGTGGTTGGGTCTGGAAGAGATATGATGTTGACGGAAATGCTAAGGTATCACATTATTCTAGAAAGGTATAAAGACAATGAAGCGCCCAAGTCGAGTTATACCCAGAAAAACGGCGCACCTTCTTCGGCGGCGGATAGGCGGCTTTTCGGGGAGGGGGCTGGCTGACGGCCATCTTCGCTTTGGCGATAGTCTCGTCCAGTGGGGACAACGGATCCGTTTCCGAGTCCGAACTTGCTGACGGCGGCGAGGGTTGACGTTTTTGGACGCAAATCGGGAGTCAATTAGGGGTTTGGACAGGCTAGCAGAGATCGTTTGGGAATGGAAGGGGCAGGCTATCAGAGATCATTTGGGAATGGAAGGGGCTGGAGGAGCAGAGATCATTTGGGAATGGAAGAGGGGCAGGCTGGCAGAGATCATTTGGGAATGGAAGGGGCAGGCTAGCAGAGATCATTTGGGAATGGAAGGGGCAGGCTAGCAGAGATCATTTGGGAATGGAGAGGGGCAGGCTAGTAGAGATCAGAGCGGGTCATAAATGGTTCAAACGGAATCTTAGTGAGCTCCCACCTCTTTTTCCAGGATTGGGCTCTTCTTTTTCGCCTTTTTCCGCTTCACATCATCTTCAGAATCGGCTCGACGACACGGAGGAGACGTCGGAGAAGTTGACGCAACTTTACTAAAGAATGTATACACTTTAAGATTAAACCGCGCAAATATTTGAGGACCTAAAAATCCCCACCTGGCGGTCTGTTTAGCGCCGGCGCAGCCGGTGGAAGCGCCGGTTTCTCCGGCGGTGCCGAGCTGGTCGACG